TAATTTTTATCCTAGTTTGGATCAAACGGATCCTATATCCAGGTATTAATCTCAACTGAGAATTAACGCTTCACTAGCACAAACCAACAAACTTTTACAATCACAAAGAAAATAAAACAGTTTAAGGTTAGAACACCTCTCTTGTTATCCCCAAGAGATGAAACTCACTTCCTCTATAACCCATAAGGGATGAACACCTCCTTTGAATCTTCACAAAGGATAAACACCTCCTCTGAATGCTTCACGAAGGATGAACACCTCCTCTGAATGTTTCACGAAGGATGATAGACTTTCAACTCAGCAATAACAACAACATTCAATCACACTGTGAAAGTTCTCGCTCTATGCCAACACGCCAAATTCTCGTTTTATATATTAATTTATATGTGTAATATATGGTGTGATTAATTTTAAAATTTATAATTTATCCATATGTTTGCGAAAACTATTATGATGGTACACAATATAAGATTAAATGATATTGTATGTGATAAAAGTAAAATTATGTATGTGATATTTCTCTTTCCTAAAATTTTATTATTTTTAATATGATATATCAATAATGCATAATTAAAGATTTAATTTTAAACTTCATGTATAAAAAACCGTTGTAGATTTTTTTTTTTAATAAATCTTTACTATATCAAGAAATAATTACCAATGTTTAGCCAAAAATATATGTTATGTTAAAATAAGTAAAATTTATGTCCCTTTATAACTAAAATATAGTTAACCAAATTTGCATGATCATTGAGAAGCCACCTAACCAATTCAATTCAAGTACCTAATTTATAAAGTTGATTTCAAATGCATATAGTGTAGTTTGTAATCAACCTCAAAGCCACGATAATAACTTTATCACTTAAAAGTCTTTGTGTTCAGTCTTCTTACATACACATCTATAACTGAACAACATTTGTCAAACAAGTCTCTAAACTGGAAAGTAGGTTTCAATCGAACAATTATAAATAAATAAATAAACATTGAAACATTTATCACTATAAAGTTCAAAGACCAATGGCCATTTCAAAACCATGTTTAGACAAGTTGACTCATCCACTTCATTTCATCTCCTAACTTAGAAAAATAACCATAAACAATGAAACACCACATTCCACACAACATGCATGATAACTATTATTATAGTTATGGTGAGTTCCCATTAAAAATAACACCAAATTAAGTTATCAATTTTACTTTTCAAATTAATTTTATAAAATTGAGTTAGGCTCATAGCTAATTTTTAGACTTCAAATTCTAAAATTGTTACTTTCATCTCATTAATAATCACTTTTTATTTACTTTTGTTAAATTAACTCGTTTATTACTTAAAATTATATTATAATAAAATACTATAAATATATTTTTGAAAATAGTAGATTCAAACTGAACTAGATAGACATTAGACCAATATAGCAGAAAATTCTTGGCTTATGAAAGAATGAAGAAATTTCGTGCCTTAATAAAAAAATCGAAGGGGTCATCTGCATCTTAATATATTCCATTCAATATAAGTCTGCATCTAGAATAAATAAAGAGTACATAGGTTATGAAAAATAAGTACCTAGTTTTGTACAAACAAGACATTTAAACATATATTTGGTACTTTATTGAAAATGTATCATAAAGAAAATTGAATACATCACGTATTTGATTACTGTATTTTGTTCTATTTTAGATAAGAAGAAAATATAAAAAAGGAGAAAAACAGAAATAACTTTTTTTTATGATTTTCTTCCTTTTCTCTTGAATTCAAAATTGAACCATCTCGGTTTCCTTTGTTTGTGAGAAAGAGGTTTAGTGTAAGATGATATCATCACTAATAATGTATCCATTGTATTACTCTTGCTCATTAAGATTGGAATAAATGAACAGATCGAAAATAATCGAAAAGATAAAGAATGATAATGATGACTAAATAAATCTCCACAAAATATTATTAAAAAAAGAAGTAAAGTATAAGAACATTTTGATAAAATCTGTGGTTGTATAGCAGATAGCAGACAGAGTATGTAAAAGCTATGAGGTTCTACATCTTTCCATGGATATATATCTAGGAGAATGTTAACATCATCTCCATTCAGAATTTCAAATAAACTATAACCCTAAAAAACCTAAATGCTACTTTGTCTTTAACCTTCAACCACCTTTTCTCTTTTCAAATAATCTTCTTTACAAGAATACGAACAAAACAATAGTTAACTCCAAAACTACATGTTCAAGGAATTTACCATCATTTCACAAAGGAACAAAACTTAAACAAACTTATAGTTAGGTATCTTTTGTACTATCTTTTTTCAAAATTAGAGTTTCATCTTATCATTTTGGATTAAATATCTGTATAAACTGAAACTCTAATTTTGATTTGATAATAATAGTGACAAAATATACTTAAAAAAACTGTTTTTAAGTTTTATCCTTGAAAATAAGTAAAACAAGTTTTTTTTATCCTAAGTATGAAAGAAAGAAAAAGGGTAAGACAAAAAAAAACCAAAAGGAGAATATGAAGGAAGCTGAAACATTGGATCAACCGGAAGGTGGCGGGTTGCCACCGGTATCGGACCATGTTGACGGCGGCATCTCCGGCCTGCTGCCGGCTGGAGGGAGGCTTTCCAGTGGCTGGAAATAACTCATTTGTTGACTTGAAAACATGGGAAATGAAGCAGAGGAAAATTGAGGAGATGTTGAGAATAACGGGAATGGAGTTTGTGACACAGAAGAAGAGAATGAAGGTGATGATGGTAACAATGAAGGTGATTGAAGAGAAGCCAATTGTGCATTGTAGTAGAACTGCTGAAGCAAACTAGAAGGTTGTGGTTGTTGTTGTTGTTGAAGCTGATGCTGATGCTGATGATGCTGCTGTTGAAAATCACTCTGTAGAAGCTGAGAGTATTGCAAATAGTCTCTGATCAAGTCAGAGGAGCTTTGCATATTTGGCGGCTGAATGAAGGGTGGCGCCGCCATGGCTGTGGTGAGTGGTCGGAATTGAGTGGTGGAGGAGTCAGAAACGGTTAGTCTTGTGGTGGGTTGGAAAGGTTGAATAGGGGGAACTGCCCTAACATTTTCAGGGAAGTTTAGCTTTGCCCTGTTGCCTCTGAACCTCAATGCAGCTTCATCATAGGCTCTTGCTGCTGCTTCTTCTGTGTCAAATGTACCAAGCCAAACTCTTGCGGCTTTGTGTGGATCACGGATTTCAGCTGCCCATTTCCCCCATGGCCTCTGTCTCACTCCTCTGTACTTTCTCCTCCTTTCCCCATCTCCAGTCGTAGTTTCAGTAACAGCAGTAACAGCAGTTGCTGCTGCTGTTACTGTTGTAGTTGTGGAGGTGGGAGCTTCTTCAGTCACTGGTTAAATTCAAAAGATGAGATAGAAGGCACAGAACATCTGCACTAGTGTGGAGAAACATGCCATTGTGTAATAAATGGCTTAATTGTGAACCATGGTGTTTGTACTTGTAGTTGGAGGTATTTGAGTATGTGACTGATGAGTAATGAACATGTTCAGCATGGTAAACTTTTCTTTGTGATAACATGGTTTTGGAAAATGAAAATCTACTTGATAAAAGAAAATGAGAAATGGAAGGTGTTTATGCATGCAATATAAGCAGCAAGAATGATTTTCCCCTGCACTAGGTGGCAGGGAAGGAGATTCAATGAAAAGAAGGATGAGTGCTTGATTCTGAACACTTAACACAGACTAATGATGCTGCATGTTTCATTCAACAAATTGGGATGTTTGGAAAAGATAAAATAAATTGGTGAAGAAAGTTTAAGATAATGCAAATAACGATTTACATACACCCCATTTGTTGTTTTAGATGCAAAAGATGAGATGAGGGTGACATGAAATGATGTGTGAGCTGTGATTGTGATGATTGTAGATATGAAAAACACGTTTCATGGTAATTTGAGGATGTCGTGTAATGAAGGAGTTGCACCTGAAGATGAGTCTCCTTGAGAAGGTAGCATGAAGTCAGCAAGTGTTGTTCTGAAGAGTCTGGGAGCAGTTTGTTGTTGCATCAGGTTATGTGAAGAAGAGGTATTAGTCTCTTGTTCTTCTCTCCCTCTTTTCTGACCAACACCAGAGGGTCCAGAAGAAGGAGAAGGAGAGGAAGAGAAAGAAGACAAACGAGAAAGAGAAGGTGCATGTGCGAAACCTGACATCATAGGATAACCACTTTGTTGCATCCATTCGGTGCTCCTCTGGTCAGACCCTGACGAAACAACATGTGTCAAAGCTGAAACCATTTGCCTCAACTCTGGATCACCCCTGTTGTACCCTGAAACCAAAGAACCACCTTGCATTGTTACCTCACCTTGTTGTTGCAGCATCCCTTGGTTAAAATTGAAGCCTGCTGAGCCACCACTACCACCATCATGTCCATAACCATGTTCACCCTCACCACCGTCATCCGCGGTGAACCGGATAAACTCACCTGAGCCCCTTTGGTACGCCACCGTTAGCAAGGACATGAAAACTATAGACTATGGTGTTTTTCTTTTCATACTATTTTTGGACCAAAATCAAATTTACCAAGATCCACCTGGAAATTTTGTTGTTTGATTCCTTCTCGGAACACCCTTTGGAATGCTATGGAGGATGAAACGGTTATATAATAAAGGGGTGCAAAAGATTTGCAAAATTAAGCATGTGGAATTAAGGTACCAGCCACCATTAAAATAGTGTAAACTAAGCTATAAGTATATATCCTTTTCCCTGTACCGTATGCTCTGGCTTCTACATTCACCTCAACGCACACACCCTTTTACCACCTTTATAATTTCTTTAGTAGTTTAATTTTCATGGTGCACAAATTGTTTTTGGATTTCTGAAATATGTGAAAGGGAAATTGTTTTGGTATTTTGGCAAATACTAAAAAAAGAGTGAATTATAAAATATGTATTCTCTCTGTCACGGCTGAGAATTTTGGTGGCTATGTTCACACGTAATCTTGCTTTGACTGAGAAATAGATAGAAAGTACAAATTGTAGCTAACTAGTTTAACATCTTATTGCAGTCTCTTTTGCAAATGCTGTCGGTGTCAGTCTAGAGAGAGAGAGAGAGAGACAGAGACAGAGGAGATCATGTTTCAATTGAACTCTATCACCATAAACATTTAATGGGTAAAAACATTTTAAAAAAAGAATTAACCATAAACATGTATGCTTTAATTGTTATTATTTATCAATCACTGATATTGGCAGTTTAGAGTTATTGATTTAAGATATTTTTTTTTTCTTTTAACAAATTATAGACCACTTTAACACTTGTACAAGTGGATGATTTTCCAGCAACAGCCACCAAGTGTTGAAGATAAAGGCATAAACTGTAGCCAATTGATAAATTGGCACAGTACCAACTTGCGAATTTCTTTATAAATATATTGATTACAAAATTTAGGTAGTTCTCCATAAAGCACATTACAAACATTTTATTTGAGAATATTATACCAATATATACATAAATATATTTATGTATATATATATTTGTTTGTATTCCAAAACGGGTAAAAAAATTGAATGAATGAATGCGATTTATGGTCAAAACACGGCTCTGTGATATGCAGAAGACAAGTGAACGTGAGTTTGGTTTTGTGATGATCAAGAACAAGAAATTCAAACAGGAAACATATTGTAAACTGATTTTGAATTCTTCAAATTTGGTTACCTTTTTATGTGTCATTTGACACTTCTGGATTTTGGTAGAAATATTTTACACTTTAAAGGTGTTATAAATAAGGTCAACTCGTTTACTGGGTCGCTATTTCGAACAGATTCTTTCCATATTGATCATTTGCATGCATACCAAAGATGCAATTATCTTATTTTTATTGTGTTCGTTTATGTCTAATTATTAGTAATATATGTATCATCATACGTATGAATGTGTTCACATAAAAAAGGAAAAAGCTTACGTATAGTTGCGAGATAGTGAAAACCGTAAATTTTTATCATAGAACCATGTATAAATTATTAAAATTAAAATTATTGCACTGTTGTATGATTATGTAAAAATTCCACCACTTTGATATAATAATAATAATAATAATAATAATAATAATAATAATAATAATAATAATAATAATAATAATANAGAAGCTGAGAGTATTGCAAATAGTCTCTGATCAAGTCAGAGGAGCTTTGCATATTTGGCGGCTGAATGAAGGGTGGCGCCGCCATGGCTGTGGTGAGTGGTCGGAATTGAGTGGTGGAGGAGTCAGAAACGGTTAGTCTTGTGGTGGGTTGGAAAGGTTGAATAGGGGGAACTGCCCTAACATTTTCAGGGAAGTTTAGCTTTGCCCTGTTGCCTCTGAACCTCAATGCAGCTTCATCATAGGCTCTTGCTGCTGCTTCTTCTGTGTCAAATGTTCCAAGCCAAACTCTTGCGGCTTTGTGTGGATCACGGATTTCAGCTGCCCATTTCCCCCATGGCCTCTGTCTCACTCCTCTGTACTTTCTCCTCCTTTCCCCATCTCCAGTCGTAGTTTCAGTAACAGCAGTAACAGCAGTTGCTGCTGCTGTTACTGTTGTAGTTGTGGAGGTGGGAGCTTCTTCAGTCACTGGTTAAATTCAAAAGATGAGATAGAAGGCACAGAACATCTGCACTAGTGTGGAGAAACATGCCATTGTGTAATAAATGGCTTAATTGTGAACCATGGTGTTTGTACTTGTAGTTGGAGGTATTTGAGTATGTGACTGATGAGTAATGAACATGTTCAGCATGGTAAACTTTTCTTTGTGATAACATGGTTTTGGAAAATGAAAATCTACTTGATAAAAGAAAATGAGAAATGGAAGGTGTTTATGCATGCAATATAAGCAGCAAGAATGATTTTCCCCTGCACTAGGTGGCAGGGAAGGAGATTCAATGAAAAGAAGGATGAGTGCTTGATTCTGAACACTTAACACAGACTAATGATGCTGCATGTTTCATTCAACAAATTGGGATGTTTGGAAAAGATAAAATAAATTGGTGAAGAAAGTTTAAGATAATGCAAATAACGATTTACATACACCCCATTTGTTGTTTTAGATGCAAAAGATGAGATGAGGGTGACATGAAATGATGTGTGAGCTGTGATTGTGATGATTGTAGATATGAAAAACACGTTTCATGGTAATTTGAGGATGTCGTGTAATGAAGGAGTTGCACCTGAAGATGAGTCTCCTTGAGAAGGTAGCATGAAGTCAGCAAGTGTTGTTCTGAAGAGTCTGGGAGCAGTTTGTTGTTGCATCAGGTTATGTGAAGAAGAGGTATTAGTCTCTTGTTCTTCTCTCCCTCTTTTCTGACCAACACCAGAGGGTCCAGAAGAAGGAGAAGGAGAGGAAGAGAAAGAAGACAAACGAGAAAGAGAAGGTGCATGTGCGAAACCTGACATCATAGGATAACCACTTTGTTGCATCCATTCGGTGCTCCTCTGGTCAGACCCTGACGAAACAACATGTGTCAAAGCTGAAACCATTTGCCTCAACTCTGGATCACCCCTGTTGTACCCTGAAACCAAAGAACCACCTTGCATTGTTACCTCACCTTGTTGTTGCAGCATCCCTTGGTTAAAATTGAAGCCTGCTGAGCCACCACTACCACCATCATGTCCATAACCATGTTCACCCTCACCACCGTCATCCGCGGTGAACCGGATAAACTCACCTGAGCCCCTTTGGTACGCCACCGTTAGCAAGGACATGAAAACTATAGACTATGGTGTTTTTCTTTTCATACTATTTTTGGACCAAAATCAAATTTACCAAGATCCACCTGGAAATTTTGTTGTTTGATTCCTTCTCGGAACACCCTTTGGAATGCTATGGAGGATGAAACGGTTATATAATAAAGGGGTGCAAAAGATTTGCAAAATTAAGCATGTGGAATTAAGGTACCAGCCACCATTAAAATAGTGTAAACTAAGCTATAAGTATATATCCTTTTCCCTGTACCGTATGCTCTGGCTTCTACATTCACCTCAACGCACACACCCTTTTACCACCTTTATAATTTCTTTAGTAGTTTAATTTTCATGGTGCACAAATTGTTTTTGGATTTCTGAAATATGTGAAAGGGAAATTGTTTTGGTATTTTGGCAAATACTAAAAAAAGAGTGAATTATAAAATATGTATTCTCTCTGTCACGGCTGAGAATTTTGGTGGCTATGTTCACACGTAATCTTGCTTTGACTGAGAAATAGATAGAAAGTACAAATTGTAGCTAACTAGTTTAACATCTTATTGCAGTCTCTTCTGCAAATGCTGTCGGTGTCAGTCTAGAGAGAGAGAGAGAGACAGAGACAGAGGAGATCATGTTTCAATTGAACTCTATCACCATAAACATTTAATGGGTAAAAACATTTTAAAAAAAGAATTAACCATAAACATGTATGCTTTAATTGTTATTATTTATCAATCACTGATATTGGCAGTTTAGAGTTATTGATTTAAGATATTTTTTTTTTCTTTTAACAAATTATAGACCACTTTAACACTTGTACAAGTGGATGATTTTCCAGCAACAGCCACCAAGTGTTGAAGATAAAGGCATAAACTGTAGCCAATTGATAAATTGGCACAGTACCAACTTGCGAATTTCTTTATAAATATATTGATTACAAAATTTAGGTAGTTCTCCATAAAGCACATTACAAACATTTTATTTGAGAATATTATACCAATATATACATAAATATATTTATGTATATATATATTTGTTTGTATTCCAAAACGGGTAAAAAAATTGAATGAATGAATGCGATTTATGGTCAAAACACGGCTCTGTGATATGCAGAAGACAAGTGAACGTGAGTTTGGTTTTGTGATGATCAAGAACAAGAAATTCAAACAGGAAACATATTGTAAACTGATTTTGAATTCTTCAAATTTGGTTACCTTTTTATGTGTCATTTGACACTTCTGGATTTTGGTAGAAATATTTTACACTTTAAAGGTGTTATAAATAAGGTCAACTCGTTTACTGGGTCGCTATTTCGAACAGATTCTTTCCATATTGATCATTTGCATGCATACCAAAGATGCAATTATCTTATTTTTATTGTGTTCGTTTATGTCTAATTATTAGTAATATATGTATCATCATACGTATGAATATGTTCACATAAAAAAGGAAAAAGCTTACGTATAGTTGCGAGATAGTGAAAACCGTAAATTTTTATCATAGAACCATGTATAAATTATTAAAATTAAAATTATTGCACTGTTGTATGATTATGTAAAAATTCCACCACTTTGATATAATAATAATAATAATAATAATAATAATAATAATAATAATAATAATAATATAATGTAATATGATAATAGTGAGAGTTAGAAAAGATGGTAAAAATGTCAACGTGGGTTTGAGTGATAGAATAAAGGTTACACGTGTGGACCAGAAATACGAGATACGGAGACGAATACAGAGAGTGGGGTCCACACAAAAGGTTACCGTACCGCCACGCAGCAATTCCCATGTCACTCATTTATCAGAATAAATTACTATGTATGTAAGCTTTTATTTTAATAATAATTAATTTAAGAATTATACTTGTATAAAACGTGATTGGATGTTGTGCAAGTCTTTTACACCTATTGTAATTCATAACAATTTATATATACTGGTATTTATGATTTTTTGTTTTATTGATTAATTATAAATTCGCTAAACTAAGTCTATAAATATTTTAATTATTTTTTCATTAAAAGATGTATTTATTAAATGTAACGCATATCTATTTCTAATCATAATTCATATAAAAAATAAATCATAATAATAATAATAAAAATAATAAAAACAAATGAAGTTTAAAACATCTTTGTAACATCCCAAAAATACATTAATAAACCATACATTAGAAATAATTACAATTAGTAATATATCAGTTCAGTCTTATACTAATCAAGCGTACAATCTTGGCCAAACGGCCTTACATAGAGCTATAAACTTAAATTGTTCCAAATAAAAAAAAAACATGACCGAACGGTTTACAAAAGTACCATTACCGAACGGTCACATAGATCCAAAAGAAAGGAGGTGACCGAACGATCACCTCACAACTAAACTACTAAGCACTAGCCGAAAGCTCCTATGGCTCGGCCTTAACTTCCACTTCTACGAGATTCTCTTCCTCCAAATTTCCTTCTTTCAACGCCTCTTCCAGTAGCGCATCTCCTTTTGCTCACATTCACACAGATGATCATTGCAACGACAAGACGAACGTACAAGACGAGACAACACAAGGAACAACACAGGGTAAGCTTATGTAATTTAATTCAGTTACAAATCATACAATTCATACATCAACACAGAAACAAAGTTAACGAAACACTTCAAGCAAGGCCTAATACTAGACCGACCGTCCGGACTGTATGATATCTGTGTAGCTACGACGTTCGTGCACCCGAGTGATGTAGTAATTGGAATATTCTCATCAGCTGCCACCTGAGGTTAGTCCTATCTGTCCAAAGTACTCCTAAGGACTAGGACCTCCTGCCGTTCCCACACATGACCTACTCTCCTCTACATGAGGACGAGTACTCACGGAACATCAGGATGAATCGACAGCTTAGCATTACCACAATCATACTTTACAACTATCAAATATTCACTCATGAGTCGTTCCTCCCCGGAACGCTCGTTCAAATCCACAATATTTCATTCATCTCATATACTCTTCATCTTTTATAAATCTTCACTTTAATGCCATTTTTATCACAATATCCAAGAACGTCAAAAACCGAACGTTCAGCCCTCTTCAGAATGAGGACGAACGACAGGAACGAGACCGTGAAATCTCCCTTTCCATAATAGAATAAGACTGAAGGGGTTACTTTCAGATTTAAAATAAATTGAGTACGGCTACACAATATGTGACGAACGTTACTTACAACATGAATCAGTTAAATGAACTGACTCTCGTGAACTAAGATTAACACTCGAAGAATATATCCGGTACGAGAACTCTAGGTCGGAGGCAACGAAGGTAGACATGCCAAGACGTTTAAAGAACCAAACGTAGAACAATTAATACATATATATAGAGACTAAGTGTTGGTCAATGACTGAACACGGTAAAGGAGATTCTACTGAATTTGGACGAACGTTATTTCATCCCGATTTATAAGTTAAAATGGTTACGAGTGCTCGGTGTAAGACCGAACGCCAATCATTATGAGAGCATGAGTTGGGACTATCACTAATTCGAACTTATAATAGGAACAATAATAATAATTATGATAAGACACATTTGGAGACGGTGATGAAGAATAACTAAATATACAAATATCTATTTACAAGATTTTTCAGTTCCTCACTTAACACTCAAGTACATCTATGTTCGGCTGAACGCTCAAACATAGTATTATTACAAGAAAACGCTCGTCCTCCACCAGAACTCTTCCCAAATGAAAGAATTCAATTTCAAAAGAGTTTACAAGGAACACCGAACGGTCAAAGACCGTTCAATGTCGAACATTCAATATCATAGGAAAATTTCTTATTTGAACTCACATTCATTCTAATTCATTTCTCAGCGTATAACTTCATAATTTCATACTTTCCTATCAAAGCACATTTCATATTATTCATACATCAACTCATAATAATTATCATATATCAAATAATCAACATCACAAAGTCATGCTTCATGCAACTCACAGAACGTCCATGCAACTTAGTAAAACATATAAATTAAATTGAATAAGCTTCCCTTACCTCTTTTGTGAACGGACGTCCTAACAATACAACACGTTAGCCTGACTGGATTCCCTTCTACTCTTACGTTCCACAACTCTTAAACTAACCAAACAGCCAAAAACCAAAAATGGTTCAGACAACGTAACAGCATGAAACCGGTACTTGGTTTGCATGTACCAGAAAACGAACGAGTGAAGACGAAGAGATTTACCAGTTTCAGAACTTGAAGATAATCGGTTCGATTTGAAGCTTGGGACGCCGGGAGTATTCCTACGGTGCCTGAACGATGATCGGGGCAGAAAAAGGTGAGTTACAGTAGAGAGAAGGAAGGGTTTTCTAGAGAGAAGAAGGAGAAATGGAAAGTCAGAGTTTGGAAAGGAGAAGGTGCATGCAGAAGAGAGTGGGTACGAGTTTTCAGAAAATCACTTTTGTTTTCCCCCGTCCAAACGGACATCCACTCTCCTGCTGACACCTGCATTCCACTATCTGATTTTCGAAACTTCGCTGGTTGACACCTGGCATTGCTCAGAGAGGTTTTGGATGCGTTTTTAATGAGATTAGACAGGTGGAGTTTGGGTGGGGTTTTTCCTAGGTCTGACAATCTTTAACTAATAAAATAAATATCATCATTTTTTATATGTCAATAAATAAAATAAATTGAAATAATAAAATATATAATAACAAATGAGGTTAAAAACCATCATTAATTAAAATAGAATTTCATATAAGCATAAATGAAGTTAGAGACTCGTCAAATAAAATAAATTAAAATGAAGTTAATAACATTGATCAAAATAAAAAAATAAACAAATATAAATAAATGAGGTTATAGACACCATATCATATAAAATAAACAAAAATGAGAGGTTATCGATATACAAATAAAATACAACTCAATAAAAATAAATAAATAAAAATAAGATTAGCAACATCTTACTAAATAAAATAAAACATAAAAAGAAAATATAAATGAGAATGAGGTTATAAATATCTTATTGAATAAAATAAAATTCAATAATTATTAAAATAATTATAAACAAAGAATTAAAAAAATATATATTTTCTTCACATATAACTTATAAATTTCTCAATGTCAACATTAGATAATCATCTCACATGATAACAAATCAACTCATTCATTAGTTATCAATGCAATAATAACATATCACAAAGTAAAAATAGAAAGATAATGAGCTACTTTTACCTCAAAATAATTTGTGCAATTTAAATTCTATTTCTCGATAGATTGAGTTACTCCAAAACTATTTTGAAATCTAATCAATAGATTTTTTGAACTACAATTCA